ACACTCAATAAAGTTAGAATCGGTAATAATTTGTCCGAAAAATTTGAGGTTCGTTCGGGCTTAAAACAGGGGGATTCTCTTTCGCCTGTCCTGTTCAATTTGGCATTAGAACATGCCATTAGGGAAGTAATGTGAACCGAGAAAGGGTTGGATCTGGGCGGGACAACATCCGTGCTGGGCTATGCTGATGATCTGGTACTGTTAAGCGAAGACGTTGAAACTATAAAACTAAATACGACAACGTTAATGAAAGCCGGTAAAGAACTAGGACTCGAAATAAACGTGGATAAAACAAAATATATGGTTAGCTGCAAAAATGGCGATACTACTGGTGATATCGATATAGATGGTAATATGTTTGAACAGGTAGATAAATTTAGGTATCTAGGTTCTACGATAACTAGAAAAAACGAAATTGAAGAAGAGATTAAGGTTAGACTGAAGGCGGGGAATGCTTGTTATTTTTCTGTGACAAAACTACTTAGTTCGCGCCTCTTGTCCCGAAACTTAAAAATTAGAATCTATAAAACAATTATCTTGCCTACAGTTCTTTATGGATGCGAAACTTGGCCGCTTACATTAAGGGATGAGCAGCGTCTTAAGGTTTTTGAAAATAAAGTATTGCGTAGAATATTAGGACCGAAGAAGGATGAGTTAACCGGAGAGTTCAGACGGTTACACAACGCCGAATTGCGTGAGATGTATCCGGGTAATATAATTGAGGTAATTTCATCGCGGCGAATCAAATGGGCTTGTAAAGTTGTTGGGCTTAGTAACGAGAGAATTCCTAAAAGGTTAATATTTGCTGTGCCGAATGGTAAGCGTCCGAGGGGTAGACCGAAGCGAAGGTGGGAAGATTGCATTAAAGCCGATCTGAAGAGACTGGGTTTGGACGGCGAACGGTGGAGGGAGGTGTGTAACAAGCGATTGGTGGTGTCGGCATCGAACCTTCGGGTTCGCTAAGCCTTATTATTATTATAATATATATTTAGGAATATATATATACAATACTAATCTATTTAATAACATAAATTACTTAATTTATCACTCACTTCTTATTAGATTTCACAAAATAAAAGTTCGTGATCATTCTTTTGTGTGACCGTTCTTGAGAACATTATTTTTTTTTACATTTTGACTTTACAAAAAACATAAAGTAAAGACCTGGTGATCGATTGGAATAAAAATACACTCGATTAGCTCCAATAAAATATTGTAAATATTAAACAAAATTAGAGCGATTGTTGTTTGTAATTTTATTGATCATTGATTAATATTCAGGATTTTGTATTTGATTTTTATAAAAAATCACTGATAACATACATCGGTAAAAATACTTTATCAATGAACCGATATAAAAAATAAATTTTTAAGAGGTTTGTTGGTTAAGGGTAGAGAATTAAGGGGACCTAAATCGGCTACAAGGAAAAAATACGACTATTGGTCCAAGATTTTACCATATTGTGTTTTTTTTTATCCTTTATTTATTGTTAGGCTCGAATAAATATTCTGGGTTAAAATATTGCACCATCAGTTTCTCCTGCTGACATCTATTTGGATTGAATCGATCTCTATGCGGAGAGAGAGAGGGGAGATTTTAAAATTTAACACCCTTAAAATTTTAAAAGCCGGACGTTACGTGCAGTGCTATCATCAATCTTTTAAATATATTACGATAAAAAAAAAGAAGCATATTTTATAATACTGCAAGCTCATAATACGGAACGAAACAGATTTTAAAATAATCCACAGTACCGGGAAACTCTGGGAACTTTTACGAACACAACTTCCTAATTAATCAGTTGACATGTTACAGTAGCTTATCAGTGATTTATAAAAAAAAAATTGAAAAATAACAGCCTACTATAGTAATTATTGAGCTTACTGTTGCGCTGCTGTAATCAATCAAGTAATTATTGAATACAAGAAAGAACTACAATGATAAATGGGCGTTCAGCAGTCAATATATCTCTTTGAATATCGAGACATCAGTTGAGGTCTGTGGCTTGTAGGCCAATTTTTGACGTTTTTTTCAAGAGATTGTGTTATTTGTTAACCTAAATGACAGAGAGGAAACAAATAAAAAAATTAATGGAAATTTAATAAAAAGATTAATGGTTTCCAGCTATGAAAAATCAACCAACGAACAGATCTTCCTAAAATAAAATCATCCATAGAATACTGGAAAAAAAATCAATATTTTTATTACACTTTGGTTATATTTTTCAGGTTTCTATTCAGGGGAAATTTTATTAGTTGGCCAGTTTAAATTAAATTATGTTTATAAAAAATTTATTTGACAGAAATTTCGATATATTACAAACATAACATTCCTGTTAAAATAATTTCTATTTTTTTTATTGAAAATATTTCCAAAATTCTAATGGGTTTCATTAAAATAAGCATTGCATTAATTTTACCTAGATAAACCTATATGCACATTTAATTTGTATCCCTTATATAGTAATCTTATTAGTTGGGTCGTGTATTAGTAAATTAACTATTTTTTAAATATTTTATTGACATCCATAATGACCTTAATGTTCCATATGTTTCCGATTTGGCCCAATCCAGATACCTATCTTTCCATAACAAACTTCAGGACAACCCGAACCCTCTCGTTTCAAACCTTGCTTCCTACTCGATCCCTGTTAATCCTCCGCGGCGTCTGAAAAGAAGGTGGCCTCGTGATCTTCTTGTGTAAATTTATTTGAGTGCTACCAGTGGGCAGTTTCTCAACAAGCGATTTCATGTTATTATATTCCTGAATGCACATTTACTAGATGTAAATTTGTAATAAAAAAAATATTTCGTCTGTTCATTATTCCTAAAATTGGTGTCTTGAGTTTTTATTTGTTATATAAATTAGGCCATTATTTACCAACATTTTATTTATTAGTTATTTTATTATGACGTTTCGACCATCTTCAAGACTGATGTCCCTCCAGAAATGACGTAGAGGAAACTCTTAAATAGCAGGATAATTTAATTTTTCACTGAACAAATTAATACGACATTATTAATGAATATTTAATGGAGGACTCATTAAGACTTGAAAATGGACCTAGTGATGGTCGAAACGACGTAATAAAATAACTAATAAATAAAATGTTGGTCAATAATGGCCTAATTTATATAACAAATATCAAAAAAATATTTGTACTCCTTCAGATATAATTAATAATTAATACAATGGATGGAAGATAAATAAACATTGTTGAAACAAAACATAAGAAAGTATGGAAAAATAAACAGCATTAAAGGAATAACTAAATATGAAGCAAGGAAAAATATTAAATAAAAACAAAAATAAATAAATATAAAAATAAAGGCAAATAAGCATAGACACGAATAAATATGGTGGGAATCAAAGTTTTTAATTTTTAATTTTAAAAGTACAATCCGCCACATTGAAGGCCAATAAGTAAAAGGGCTAAATGTGTTCATTCATACCATATATGCATATAATATGGAAATAAAAAATAAAAATAAATAAATGAATAAATATAAAATAAATGAGTAAATTAGGGAAAGTAAATATAAAAATAGAATAACAAACATAATTGAAATAAAAAATAAATCAATAAGTAAAAATAATATAAATCATCTTAACACATTCATTCCTATGTACAGATCAAAGTTATAGTGTTAAATGTTTCTCATTGCTCCACGTTTCTCGTTATGTTGTTGAGTTAATTATTTTTACTTTTCTAATTTTCTATTCTACTTTTTAATATATATTTATTCGATATTTTTAATATTACGTATAAAATTACAGTCTATTACACAAGACATTACTTTTAATTAATCCCAATTGGTGGACGAGAGTCATTGTGCAGTCCTTGTTATGTATTGAACATAGCAAATGAAGTTTTTAAAATTATTATTTGTCAAAAACAATTTTGAACGAAACCGACTTCTGACATCTAAAACAGCGTCGAGGGGCAACCTTCAATGACCGACCCCCTGTACCTGGAACCCTGGGGAAGGCTTAGAGCAAAAACTAGTAACGGGTAAAGTAACTGGTTCCTTTTAGTAAACCAGTTATTGTGGAGTAATAGGGTGACGTTAAGAACAAATAGAAACCATCCTTGCTCCACCCTCAAAAGTTTGTATAAAATCTACTGAGAAGCAAAACAATAGGTCTTATGTCGATTTCTGGCTTGGAGGATAGGTCTTATGTTTTCTTCCGGCTTGGGGACTGAAGGCTTGGCCCGACATAGAGCACACAGATGGGCGTCTTGAAGAAGTTTTTGGATCTGGCCTTGACGAGGTGACTTAGGATCAGCGGAGGCAGCGATGAAACTTGCCATAACTACACCACTTCACATACTATAATAGCTAAGTTGTAATTCCTAATCCTAATGTTATAAAATATTTCATGACAAAATAATTCTCAAAACAGTCCATCTGAAACCATACCTGCAAAGTCATTATTAAATCATGTTTTTTATTTAGTTTATTGTATATAGTGTTTGCACATTAAAATTTGTATATATTCTTTATTAAACACAGAAATAAATTAAGTTTTTAGTAAAAGTTGTCATAATTCTGCCAGCTTTTTATATCTTGGTGATCAGAGATAATGTTGGTAATTAGAATGCATGATAAACACAAACCAGCCTTTGAGGAAAGAAATCCAATTAATTAATTCTGGAACAATCATTATAATATAGATTCAAATTTATTTTACTGATTTAGGTTTAGGAACTAGGTTTTTATTAAACATTTCTGGGTAATTATCATCAATAATTATCCAGTGGCATCCCGAATAAAATTTCAACATTCCAAAACGTAACATTTCATCCTCAGTCTGGATAGGTATTACTATATACTTAATGCATATTTTAAGAATATTAGACCCATTGTATGGTCCCTAGGGTATTGATATGAAAAAATGTAGGTAATTTGTATAGATGTCGTTTAAAAATATTTGTCTAAAACTCGTCTATTAGTTTAAGAACGTAATTAATGTTGATTGTGTTGCAGAATATACTTACCATCCTACAAGGCTCTTCCTCGTCCGGGAGCCAGGCGTAGGGGTCATGATGATAGTAGACGTGGCGGAGCGGGTAGTGATAAGGCGGCATCCACCGGGGCAGTGGGGCCCACTCCTGAGGTGGCCTGCGGACCAGCTCGGCCAGGTTCTCGTCCGAGGGCACCCTCCTCTTCACGCAGACCGTCAACAGGCTAGGGCTGCGGGAGCTGCAACTCGAGTCCTGGAACAGTACCGTCCAACCGTTCCAAAAGTAAAATGTTCACAATAAATAATATAGCAAATACAATTAGGTGTCATATTCTAATATAATAAAAATATAAATAATTTCGTTTTTTTTTTTTTTCATCTTGAATATGATATAAATTCACATCTATACAACTGCAAGCTCGAAATATATAAACGTGAGTCATTGAACGCAGAAGTGGCGTAAATAAAACACTGTAGTATTGAGATATTGATGACTTCTTAGATTTAATAGTTCTATAAAAGTTGTAGAATATCTACTTACCAGAAACTTATTCATTAAACAATTTTATGCAAACATTTTTTTTTTCAAATTTGCGGTAGTTGACGGATATCTCGGAAATTACGCGAGGTTGCGAAAAAACGTAGCTAGAAATCAGTCATGTTGCAAATTCTATCAGCTGTAATTTTGTATAGAACATGCTATGTGTTGAACATAGCAAATAAGTTCTAAAAAATAAATTTTAAAATTATTATGGGCTGTGGAAGACAAAGGTGAATGAAACCGACTTCTGACATCAAAAACAGCGTCAAGGGGAGAGTAAGTAGATAAGGACCGACCTATACCTGGACCCTGGGAAAGGCTTAGAGTAAAAACTAGTTAGTAACGGACTAAGTAATTGGTTTCTTTTAGGTGTTACCAGTTATTGTGAAGTAATAGAGTGAAGTTAAGAACCAATGAAAATCATCCTTGTCCCACCCTGAATATTTCTATAAAATCTTCCGAGAGGTAAGAAAAGAGGTCTTATTTATGTTGATGTCTGGCCTTGGGGAGGGAGGGAGGGGCGTTTGCTGATTTCTGGCCTTGAGGATAGGTCTTATGTTTTCTTCCGGCTTGGGGACTGAAGCCTTGGCCCTACATAGAGCACACAGATGGGAGTCTTGGAAAAGTTTTTGGACCTGGACTTGCCCAGATGACCTCGGATCAGCAGATGCAGCGATGAAATCTACTACTTACACCACTTCACATACCATAATAGCTAAATTGTAATTCCCAATCCTAATGTTAAAATATTTCATGGCAATAATTCTCAAACAGTCCATCTATCTGAATTCACAGGCATTGATTATATTCATTGAATCATGTATTTAGTTTTTTGTAAATATAATTTGCATATATAATTTAGTAAACATAGAAATAAAATAAGTTTTTTATTAAAGTTATTTTATTGAATATTTAATAGTTGACCGTTGCATTATAAAGGAAGGAGATGGTCCGGGGTTGCTGTCATAAATAGGCTAAATAGTGATAAAAATATTTTATTGAAAGCCAACATTTCAACCCTACTTTGCAGATCTTTATCAGGGAGGTGTGTTCATCTAGGAGTTTCACTTAGAACACACTTAGAACAGTTCTAAGTGAAACTCCTAGATGAACACACCTCCCTGATGAAGACCTGCAAAGTCGGGTCGAAACGTTGGTTTTCAATAAAATAGTTTTACCACTATTTATGACCGCAACCCTGACCATCTCCTTCCTTTAAAGTTATTTTAATTCTGTCACCCATATATATCATGATGATCACAGGTAATGTTGGTAATTATAAAGCATGATAAACACAAAGCAGCCTTTGAGAAAAGAAATCCAATTAATTAATCCTGGACCAATCAATATAATATAGATCCAAATTTCTCTGACTAATCTTTCATTATTAATTTTCTTTAAATAATTCTGGGTATTTATCACCAATAATTAACCAGTGGCATCCCGAATAAATTGCAACACTCCAAAACGTAACATTTCAAAGGTCTTTGTCAATACAATGGATAATTTTCTTGATATAAGTGAAAACCCGAAAAAAGTGAACTTCTAGGCGTCCCTTCCCCACATCAGGTTCCTCGACCTAATTGTGGCGACTCTGAGTATGTTAACCTCCTTACTTGTCAAAACAATGTCCCAAAGTCAAAAATTGTGTCCCCGCCATTTCCTTCTATAATCATTCATTCATTGAACTATCGGTATTTGTAAGGCAGTTCTGTTTCAAAGCCAACGGTTGTGCATGGAGTTGACTAGGCCGAGGTCACACTTAAATGCGACGTTTTTTTCTCAATTAATAATTAAGAGTACCCACTTCATTTAAAAGAGGCTGTGTGTACCCCAGGGGACTCTCCTGATCCAAGGGTCGATACATAGCTAATATAACAAAAAATACCAACCTGAGCTGAACTCAAATACGTGACCTTGAACATTGAAAGTCAGCACCTTATTCACTGAGCTACCCCGATCTCTAGATGTATAGCTAGTAACTATTTAGTTAAAAATTACTTAAGGCCGTGATTGTCAAGATTGCTAGGGCGTCATAACCTTATCAATCTTAAATCTAGTTGCAGAGATTCAAATCAGAATGTTCAGAGCTAAGATTAATGTAATATGTAGTAAGATTTATATAAATTAAAAAACAAAACATATATATTAACTGAGTAAATATAAAATATGACATGACAAAAGAAAGGGCATGAAAATATAAATTAGGGAGAAGCACAATAAATTTGTACTGCTGCCCAACTTCGTTGGGCTGCTAAATCACTCAGCAGACTGATCTGTCATAATTGATACCATTTGATAAAACAGAACAAAACATCTGGTGTGTACACTCACACGACTTTCCTACCTATTTCAGAAAAGTTTTGTATCTTGTATAAGTTCATGAAGAAACAAAAAAATATTGAACTAGATTTATTTTCCTGAAAATTGATCAAAGAAAATATTTGAGTACGATTTATTTGATAAATTAAGGCAATGTAAACCGGCTTAAGGTAGATCAGTGTAAACATTTCAATACTCTCTAATATTGCTGATCAAAAACTTTTTGCCATAGCTTAGTATTGCCAAACAATAATTTCTGTTAAAAGTAGGAGAAATGGTGAAGCTAGTGTGATGCGAGCCACAGATTTCCTTACTTTCACTCAGTCAGCTTTTTTTCTCTCATTCACCCCTTTCTGACACCAGGATATGAACCCGTAATCTTACATTGGAAATTGAATAGCTGTAACTTTGTTCTTAGTTGCCCAAAGTGAACGATTTTTATATAGTTTTGTAGGGAATTTCATTACCTTTCAAAAAAACAAGATAAACGGCGATTTTCGGATGGAGCACCGAATTTCTGTCACAGGCATCAGTAGTCAAAACCATACAAAATAAAAAAAGAAGCAACAAAATCGGTTCTGTAGTTCCCGAGAAAATTTTGTCCCAGACAGACAGATAGACCAATGGCTAAAAATGTGTTTTTCGGACTCAGGGGGCTCTGAAACGTATAGATCTGTCGAAAACCGCATATCGGATATTTGACCCGATTGCAATACTTTCCTTACCTAATATTGGTAGGAAAGTAAAAAGATAAAGTATAACGGGACCATCATCCAACGTACCGAATGTTATAATTTATTCATTCATTGTTATAAGTTTCTTATAATTGTTATTACGGTCAACCACAAAAAAGACAGGCGAAGTAGTCCGAATCATCAAGTGATATAATCGATAGCTTGCTGACGATATTATCAAAATTATAACTTGCAGTTTCGAACCACCTTTAAACCTAACTCAGTGTTTTATAACTTGGGAGTTTGGTGAAAATGTCAAAGATGCTTAGAGAAAGATATGAAACTTCTGTCGCAACGTGTATATTGTATATAATATGGAATATATTCACATAGAAGTTTGAAACAACGAAAAAGTTTTAGTTCTATCGTTGGTTGTATCTTGTTTTTCAAGAGTAAATGACTACGCTGGATAAATACTGGTATTAGTTCACTAGGATAAAAAAGTGCTAAAAACATTTTATAAAAAAGTTTATTCAACATGTCAGCGAACAAGTTGCTAGGGAGAGTTGGCAAGTAGATTTTACAAATTTGTTGATCATTGATGGTTTCATTCGAAATTAGATTGGTTTGTATGTCGCTTGCAGTTCGCTATTAAAGTTTGTAACGATGCCAGAACAATTAATTATAGTATTCTGAGGCTCTTTGAAAAAATCTCATGTGGCTGAAGGGAGGAAACGATTTTTTTTTTGTTCAATAATTCAATTTCACAGTTACCAAAAAGCATTTTATCTTCGATCTAAACGTCCCCATATTTGTTCGATATAATATCTGAAATTTTTAACTGTAGATATTAATTTTAAAAATTAAGAGAGAAAGATATAATCTGGAATGTATTGTTTTTAAACTATCATATTATTTATATAAAAAAATCCATAAAAATCCAACGCACGCCTTATATAATCTTCAACGTAACCTTCATTACTGGTATTAGCAGATCCAAGATTTAATTTTGGAGCGAGGCTTTATATATATATATATATATATTGGTAATTACTCTGGTGAAAGAGAAAGAATCTATCTGTATGCTGTAATGTTTAAGTTATATGTTAAGACCTATTCAATAAAAAAAAAATACATTTTTTTTCTTGATAGCTACTTTTATTTAGTAGCTATATATGCAATATAATATAAAAATATAATATAGTACTTAGCTTATATGAAAAAAAAAATGAAGAAAAAATATATATTCCTATTTTTTTTCTGGGGGGGGGAGGAGGAAGGGAGAAGAGTGAAAGCCCTTCCTATAAATTAGAAAATGATGACCGTTGCAAACTCTTGTCAAAAAGTAAAACTTTCTTTCCTATTTTCCTCGACAATGTGCAAATTACACGTAAAATTAGTTCCCTATCTTGGATTTAAATTTGGCCATACAAGAAGATTGGACCACATAATAAAAGAAAAACACTAAATATAAGATCACGACTTCTATATTCACTTCTTTCAAGATGTTCAAGATTAATACATTAACAGTTATGTAACAATTAAACTTACTACAATCCATTTGCACCTACGCTTCACATATATTATATCTGCGACAGTAAAATAGAACCACATACATAAACTACAAATATTTCAGTATTTAATATTTCTACAAATATTCATAATTACATAGTTTTTAGAAAAAAAAAAGAAGATAAGAACTGTTTTATTAATGAA